TCGTTTATTTAACAGATTTTTATATCTTTTATTCAGAATTCTCTAAATTTCGCGGTCAGTTTCGCCGCATCCAATCAAGGGAGAGATTTAATTAAGTTTGATCGACGTTGAAGACGAAATGGGGGCGGGCGTGTCCCAGCCCTGTGGGCTTCTTCCCACGACTCCTGTAAGAAGTTTCAATATATCGGCCGAAATGATAAGACTTTAGTGGGCCGTAAATCATCTCGTATCTAAGTGGCCGGAGCGAGGGGGATTTCTCGAGGAGGAATGGCCGGTTGTTCCGGCTCGGCCGAGGGCATTAATGAATTTCCATAATGGCGCGATAACAGTGTACACAGTGAGCCATTAATACGCACTCGCGAGATCTTTACGGGCGTTTTACGCTTCTCGTAAAACTGGCTCGCTCGCAATTTGTCCCTCCGCCCCTCCCCGCGAAACTAGCACCGGTGAACTAGCTTATTCCTTCGATGGACTCCTCGGCCATTTTCTCGTCGATCGTCGATGGAGCACCGATTTTTTTTTTTTTATATATATTTATGGAAATCGTTAAACAAAAACAAAACTCTATCTATTCAAGTTCCATTTCTGATTCCGTTCAATGAAAATTTGATAAACGTTCGCTGTTTAATGATGAGATTGTTTGGGGAATTTTTATTTAAAATTAATTAGATTAAAAGTTTCTCTTTCATTTTTTTTTTTTTTGTAAGTAAATGTTTATCTTCTTGAAATTTTCATAAGATTTACAGGTTTTTTAGAATAGTGATTGGAGGAGGATAATATATATACGTATTTTAATGATATAATATTAATTTTCAAATATTATTAGTTAGTAAATTTCATAAAGGAACCATTAAAACTCAGAAAACCATTAACACTCTTGGAGAGCTAAATGAATAATCTAATGTTAATGAAATAATAAACCAGATTGCAGCATCTACTCAACTTTACTCCTCTCGTAAATATTGTAAATATTGTCATTCAGAATAATTATGATAAAAAATTAAAGAAATAACAATTAATTGGAAAGAATCACAAAGACATGGAGTGCCACACGATAATTCATATAACAAAAACTCAAGTTTAAAATGATCATTTATGCGATCAAAATTTAATTTATATAAATAAACGGAGTTCCAATATGAATGAAATAATGAAAAAAATATTTTAATCCATTTCAACGATCCCTTTCTCTCAAAGATTTTCGTATAATAATGGAATATTCTAACAAAGTGTCGCAAATATTCTTTCACGGTGAAGAAAATCACTATTCATGGATGGAAGCAGTTAAAAGCATAGAGAGTCCCAAGGAATCGGATTACGAGAAGGCAAGGGAGAAATGGGACTTCCACTTCGTTGCTCGTGAATAGTTCCAGAGGCAAGGGCCTTAAGGTCCTCTTCTCAGACTCGATGAAAAAACAACAAAGCGTCTGCGTGCTCACAATAGTGAGCCTTAGGGCCCCGTTTCTCTATTTGCGTTTACAATAAAGGAACAGAGAGCCCATGAAACGTGCGAGGGTGACCAGAACGAACTCGACATTCCCGGATCTCGAGAAAATTTTTTATTTTTCTTATTCAACACAAATACAAGCGTTCGATTATAAATGGATTGTGTAGAGAAAAAGAAAGATAAATTGTACTTTTTTTTTTTCTAAAAATGAAATAAAATTTTTTCAATCGAAATATTGCATACATTTATTTCATTCATTTCTTTTGACAAAATCTTTTATCATTTATAAATAATGCAATTATTATCAATATTCTTGATGTCCATTTTATAATAGTCAAACTGCTTCTCATAAAACTTTTTAATGGAATAAAATAAGTGTATTTTATTTTTAAAGATTTATCACATATATCGGAGCAATAATAAAATTGATAATATTATAATTAATTTTAAATAAAAATTTAACGTAGCAAGTATAAAATATTTAATATATAATAAATCTTTGATATTTCTTTTTTATTGCAATGTATATAAGTAAAGCATAAGCCTTCACCTAATTAACTATCGAAATCTTTATTTTAATATTTTCCACGCGAATAATTACGAATAGGAATAATTGGCTCACGAATTGAATCACCGATCTAAATGATCACGTAATAAAATCAATTAATCAATCTTGCAAATCATTTTTCTATCTAATTTCAAGCAAGTGTTTCAATTAATCTTCCAACGGGCTCCAATAACTTTTGCAATGTAATGATAAATCTAGATGAATAAACCAGTTTCGGGAACTGGTGTTATCGATTCAAGGTCGACGACCTCGAAATCCAAAAATTCACACGATCAAACACGTTCCAACATATTTGGAGAAAACCACTCACCGAGCCCAAGCATTTAGTCATCTCGTCCTCGAAAGAGGAGGATATACACTCTACAAGATTCAAGAACCTCGGCAACCCACGTTCATGCCGGCTTACGTAACCAACACCGAGCCGAGAAACTTTTTCTTAAATCAATTTCAGCGGCAGCCTCTCCTCGTAAAACCCACGCGCGGCCAGGTTTCCTCCTCTGGTTCTAATTGAGACCAGCGACAGGTAACGATACGAAGAAGAAACCTGGCGAGCAAGGAATGAAGAGGTAAACGGCACGAAAATGGGCAAACAAGAAGCCATCCCCTCGTTTTCGCCCTCCCCTGAACCTCATTGCCGGCAATGACTAGCAGATATAACACGTTCCAGTCCGTAGAATTGTTTAGGAAGGATAGTCACTGGACAAACGACCGCAACGGATACGACGTACGATCGTTATTGCGACATGGAGCACGATGACGACGGGGAACAACAGATCTCGGTGTCCACTTATGGTGGACCGTGATCAGTTAAGGACGAGAGATCGTGGCATTGTTCGATGAATCCTTCTTTTTTCGAGTAAAATCGATAGGTTTCTTCATTTCTTTCGAATGCTTCTTTCATTTTTAGAATACAACTTCTTCTCATAATGGAAATAAGAAAATAGTCTATATTAGTGATATAAAATTAAGAACCTGATCCTTGCCAACCATTCTTAACGAATGGAAACCTATCGAAGAGCAGATATTTTTAACTTAAAAAAATATAGATTTTCTTTAAGTAAATTAAAAATTAAAAAGCATATAAAATTGAGCACGCACACACTACACAGTACTATACAAAAATTAAAAAAAAGAATCCTCTAACATCCATCCTAATAAAACCGAACGTGAAGGCATTGCTAAATAAATTTCTATATCCATTAGCATCGGAGACAGAAACCGCTGTTACACGCCCGTAGTATTTCAGCGCGTTTCCGGGAAGAAGAGCGGGAAAAAACTAAAAAAAAAAAGTCGGAAACAAAGCTCATTTTTGCAAAAAAAGAAAAAGGGAGACGACAGAATCGGTGAAATCCACGCCGAGGGATCGTTTGCTTTCATTTAACCGCGGATTCTCCTCCTGTTTTTTTCGCGGGCGCGTCATATCTAACATTTATCAGGTGGACAACGCTCGTTCTAGCCTCGTCAAGATCCATTTGCGGGGATCCAGGATGCACACGAGCATTACCGTGTCGCGATGTCAAATACTAACGGCGGTGAGGCGAGTGGTGTCATTACCGGACCTCATAGCGCCTGGCCATCGCATCTCGCCATCCACCTCCCCTCCCCCCCCCCCTTCGTGGCCGTATTTCTCCGTTGCGGAACACGGAACACCGTTGCGTACACCGACGACGCAAACAGGTTGATAGATCTTGATGGAGCACCAACTCCCTTCGTCCACGGCCCTCTATGCTAAATACCGGCGTCGCAATTAGACGCGCGGTGTAATTCAATTATGGCGGAAATAAATGTTGCGTAGGGCTTGAGCACGAGGTTATTGCTCGATGTTCTTTTCTTTTC